TCCTTTGCATGATTCTATCATGTCTGCTATGTCCTTGTCCATGTTTGGCCAATAAACATAGCAACGCATGAGGCTTTTCGTAAGGTTCTTCCCCGGATGTCCTATGTGAAAATCCCTGGGGATTTTTCTTTGTAGGCTGTTTGGAATCACCACGCGATCATTGTATAGTAGGACATCATCGCAGAGGGAGAAAACTTCAGGCACATTGGGGTCTTTAATGCGAATTTTGCTTTTTATGGATTGAATGAATTCATCCTGTCGAGACTCCCTTTTTATGTCGGCCAAAGTAACTGGAAGCTCTCTTATGGTACTCGCAATCATGTTTTTGATTTCACAATTAGTCCTTAGAGTGACAATGATGGAGTCTTCAAAGACTTCTGTATTTTTTGGAATGAGTCGCGATAAACTGTCTGCATGGCAAATATTTTTGGATGTTAGGAACTCTATCTTGAAATTGTAGTTTAAGAGAATTGTTCCCCAACGAAGTAGTCTATTTGCAGTATAGACTGGCAGACCTTTTTTAGAACCAAAGATTGCAATTAGAGGTTTATGGTCGGTCTGTAGTATGAACCGTCTACCATGTAGGTATCTGTGAAACTTTGTCACAGCGAATATTATCCCTAGAGCCTCTTTCTTTATTTGGGAATATTGTTTCTCAGCTGGAAGTAGAGATCTTGATTCGTGAGCCACAGATTTTCGCGAACCATCTGGCAGTTTGTGTAGAATGCAAGCACCGATGCCGTATGAGCTTGCATCACTTGCGACTATGATGTCGAGGCTAGGATCGTAGTGGGTGAGGGAGAGGTCTGAAGTAAGAGTTTTCTTGATCTTCTCGAATGCGTCTTGGCATTCCGGGGTCCATGACCATGGTTTGTCCTTTTTTAAGAGTTGGTTGAGAGGCCCTCTCAAATTTTGCATGTTCTTAATAAACCCTTGGTAAAAGTTGGCTAGGCCGAGGAAGCTTTGTAACGCTTGAACATTATCTAGGGCCGGCATGTTTCTGATCGCGTTGGCTCTTTCTGGATCCAGCCGACGACCGTCTTTATTTATAAGTATTTAATATCTGATAAGAAAAAGTCACACTTTGCCTCCTTAGCCTTAAATCCGTATTCTTGTATCTTTTCGAATACGTTTATTATATGGTTCCGGTGCTCTGCCATAGTTTTACTGGTAACCAGTATATCATCCAAATAGGCTGTTGCGTAGTCAAGGTCGCCCAACATGGCGTCCATGACCTGCTGAAAAATTGCAGGCGCAACCTTTGCTCCAAAAGTCAGTCTGTTGCATTTGTACAACCCTCTATGGGTGTTTATGCAGAGCAATTTGGAACTTTCTTCTTCCACCTCTATCTGAAGGTCCGAGAGGTCGATTTTAGAAAAAAAATTTCCACCATTGAGTTTATTGAAAATTTCTTCAGGGCTTGTGAGAGGATAGTAGTGATCTTGCAAGGCATCGTTTAATCCTGTGGAAAAATCTGCGCATACTCGTATTTGGTTGGACTTCTTTTTTACGTAGACCGTAGGTGCCGCCCACTCGCTGAAATTTGTTTTTGACAGAATACCTGCTTGTTCGAGTCTATCTAACTCTTTCTTGATTTGCTCTAGAGCAGCGAAAGGGACATTCCATTTCTTTTTGAATACCGGTTGTGCACCGTCCTTCACCTTGAACTTAGCTTTCATTTTAGTACATTTCCCAGGGCCGCCAGAAAAAACCTGGGGAAATTGTTGTTTGAGTTCCTTTTTGAGATTTACCAAATTGGACGTTGTACTTTGTATCTTGCGACAAAATGTACTCATTGGGCAATCCCAAAAATTTTTCTATCCAATCTGTTCCAAATAAGTTATCTGAAGTTTTCCATACGTAGGCTTTGAGCTTTTTGGTAACTCCATTTAGTGTTACTGTAAGTATTACCTCGCCTAAAATGTTAATCTTTTCGCCAGTCACGGATTTTGCTGTTTTTTCCGTTTTTAATAAGGTCGGCTTGTTTAATTTTCGCCAAGTATGCCAGTTAATGGTTGAAAGATCGGAACCCGAGTCAAGCTCTAATTTAATGGAATTATTGAAAATATCCACAGTTACATATTTCCTTAACTTCCTATCGACAATATTGTCAGATTGACTTTGCCTAATTTTATTTTTGGGTTTTCTCGTTCTGTTGGCGTACCAGCACCGAGTTAATGTATGCCCATTTTTATTGCAATTTTTGCAATTTTTTTTTTGTTCTTAACTGGACAGAATTTCATTCAATGCCATTTACCACAATGGTAACATGGTCTGGGCGGTTTCTTTACCCTATTTTGGTTTTGGTTACTGCGGAATTTAGGACATGAGATTTGCCTTTTATCTTTTTGAGGGGAATAGGAGGTAGACTTGCTTCTGATTTTATTAATCTGAGCCACACCTGATTCCTCGATAGTGTCTGAGTCGCACTTTACAGATATTACTCTTTGACAATCCTCTGCCAGTTTTTGGAGAGTCAATCCTTGTTCATTCTCAAGCTTGGTCAGTACCCGTCGTCTGACATTGTGCGAAAATTAAGCACTTGAAATCATCGGAAGTCAGTTCGGCTAGTTTAAAATCATTACAGAGCTTGTTTACCGATGCTGCAAACGTTAGAAAATCTTGCTGGTTGTCTTTGACTGTGTTCAGGCATTTCCAACGTTTGTGGAACAGGGTTGTGTTAGGCCCGAATAGTTCCGATAGGAGCTTAATAGTCTTTGAAAAATCCAAGTCTGTGGTTTTATTTGGTAGTAAGAAGTCTACGAACCTACTATGTTCTGTAGTTCCCAGTTTTCTCAATATTAGACGTACCTTTTTTTTACTGAGCCATTGTTCACAGTTTACGTTGAAAGTTTCTTCGTAGCGCCTGTAAAAAGCCTCGAACTGGTACGTATTCAAAGGTTTCCATTGAATTGTAGATTGTACTCTGGGAGAATATTGTATCTTTTTCAGAGTTTGAGCCTTTTAATGCATTTACGAGTAATTCTTTAAGTTGTTCCTGTTGTAGTTCAGAATTCTGAAGCGTAATTTATTGGAATTCCATTTGTTGTTTATGTAATTCCAAAAATAGTTGTTGTTGTCTTTCTTCAGATTTTTGTTGCTGATCCAAATGTACTTTTAGCATTTGGACGATTACTTTTTGAAAATCTTCCATATTTAGACAAACAAAAATGACAGCGATTTTTTGTTGCTTTGAAACCCGTGTACCAAGGGGAGGTACACAAAAAAATCTTGATACTTTTTTTTTTATTTTTACAAAAAAAAAAATATGGACAGACAATTACTTAAACTAAACTAATTATGTGTTTAGCTTTTTCGAGATTCCGTGGTTCCGATAATTTTAACGTAATTGTATGAATTTTCACCACACTTATGTATTTTTTTTAATAGAGGTACAAAAAAGAGAAAACTCGCCTAAGTGAATTTGAGGGGAGAATAATTTTATGTACGAGATTCAACTCAGTTACCTAAAATATTTTTTAGATATTTTTTTCCGAAACTAGAGTCGTAAGTAGTACTTCGGCTCTTGTGTTGTCAGTTTGTTTTAAGAACAAACTGTTTTTTTTCTTTGTGTGGGTGTGTAAGAAATCGTTCTTGCTATGTTATCTGGACAGATTTTAATATTCCGTAGATCTCGAATCGCTAGTTCGTCACTGATGTTTGGTATCGGAGTATATTTTTCTTTATATGTAGACGCTGGGTGTTGCGTTTAGATCGCTGATGTAGTAATACCAGCTTAATTTCTCGTTCAATACTGCTGTGGGAACGCGTAGAGTTTCTGTGTATTTTTCGAGTACTCTGTCGCTATTGATAAGGTGAGAACGAAATTCTCGAATCTTTCTGTCGCCACTGATATGGGACGGGTAAGGTATTGAGGTTTCGGCGTGAATGCGTTTCTCGAATTCTTCGTCGCCACTTGATGTGGACACAAAGTTGGGACCACGGAAGGAAAACACGGAACACTGATTAGAGGTAAGAAAGATATATTAAACAAAAAGGTTACAAAGATTGTGTTAGTGTAAGCGGAGCTTACTATGTGCTAGTGTCCAATATTGGTAGTCGTACGCGGCTGATACTACGGTATTAGAATACTCTCTCTCTCTCTCTCTTTCCTCCTCTTCTCTTAGAGTATTATACCGCATACTTTATATAGTCCTGGAAGAGTCCATATTGTAGGTATGTTACGGTTTCACATCAAAATCCTTACGCGGAAATCAATGTAACGAACATAACTGTAATTCAAAACTATCCTTGACACTCGCTGGAAAATAATAAAAAACAAAACCAGATTAAAAACACTTCAAAAAGATTAGCTTTTGCCTCTAGGGGAAACGAGCAAGAATCCTCTCCCCGACGAAAATATCAACTGCCAAACCAGTACCTCATTTCGCAACCACATCACACAAACACGAATAACCAAACAATTAGTAAACCCAAAGCTAGTAAGCATTTTAAAAATAAAAACTTTAGAAGCAAAGAATAAAAAATCAAATAAAATACCGAATAAAATAAAAAGAAATGAATAAAATCTTAGTTAAGGAAATAAAAAATAAATATAGTGAATAAAAACAAAATTAAAGTCAAGATTATGAATGATATAGAAATATTAACCCTAAAATAAAATTAAAAAAATGCGAAACGGGGAAATTTATTTGCCCGCTTTCGTCATAATAACAAAGAAGAGGCAAGACAAAGAAGTGTGACATCGTCTGATGATAGCTGAAGCCGTGAAACGCTCAGTCACTCTCTGATTTCTTGACTTCTCTGTCCACACTTGTTAATATTGACAAGCATTCTTTCCCTGATATATGGTACATTTATTCATGAATATAGCAAAATGTAAACAATATTAATTAATTAATAGATCTATCTATCTATCCATATATATATACATGCATACATACATATGTATATGCACATATATATATATATATATATATATATATATATATATATATATATATATATATCTAACAGTCTTATTTTTATTATCTATCTAGCTACATATATATATGTGTGTGTGTGTGTTTATATCTATCTATCTATCTATCTATCTATCTATCTATCTTATCTATCTATCTCTGTTCATTATCTATCTCATTCTGTTGATATCTATCTATCTATCTATCTATCTATCTATCTATCTATCTATCTATCTAACTAATTCTATTCATTATCCTCCTATCTCATTCTGTTGATATCTATCTATCTATCTATCTATCTATCTATCTATCTATCCTGTTCATTTCTCACAGACACACCCACGTCTTCTCTCTCCTTTCACAACCTTAAAACTATTGCCATTGATAACAATCCCCAGCTTACTGAATTGGGACTGGGGATTACGACTGGGAAGAATTAATAAAATCAATGATCCACAATTGGAATTTTCTCACACGGATTTATGCCCTACTCTCTTTGTGATTAGCCTAGAATATTCCGTTGGAGATTATGTCAATCTATGGGCCTTCTCACATGGTGTTGCTTTGCAGGAGTGGTGAACTTAGTATCGGCTGTATTTTCTGGAACTGGAGATCGACGTTCTAAACCTGGTAACATCCAGCATGTCAGCGACTAATATTTTAACGCTTGGAAAGCTGGAGTAATGGCGGAATTTTCCCCACCTTTCTCATCAACTTTCTTCGTGTGCTCTATTGGGGGAAACGCCGTTAACATGATGAAATATGATAATGCTATGATTTGGAATGCTGATCTTCAAGGCTGGTTACTCCTCTCCCATTTTGTGGGCTGACCTAAATCAATCGTAATGCACACTTTAGTTGAGCTCATTAACGTATATACTCGTCGAATTTATGTATACGACCCCTGAATTGTCTGCGTGAATGTTATCTCCTCTGGAAAAAAAAATTACCTGTGTATAGTGCAATCGGCCACCGAATATACATGAGTTTTAGACTCTTAAAATTATCTGTTTATAGTGCGCGCCACTATGTTTTGCGTCAAAAACCGATATAAAAAATGATATGAATGTAATGGATTTATACCCTTGGGAACGGTATAAATCCTCTTCTTCTCACCCACACCCCGCTATGAGCAGATAGCAGGACAGACCGGGTTGGCATGGCAACTGGTTTACTGCAGACAGAAATAGCAACCTACTGCGGAAAAATCTGCATCGTCAGTCAGGTATCGAAAGATAAATGAACGCTTATCACGTATGGCACATAACTGGCTAGCATAACTACCACTAAATCCACTATTTATGGGACTTGTTTGAGCAAACAGAATCCTGCTCTACAGATAAGTAAAGACCGATAGTCGGCCATTTCTATTTGAAATAGACGCCCCGTTTTTAGGTATTAAACAGTGTGTATTACATCTATCGGTTTGCGCCTTTGAGAAATCTTAGCAAAGAAAATGCGTACCCCACAAGGATCAAATTTGCATCCTTCTTTGTAGGAGAAACCATAATTGGATTCAGTGTGCTTCACCGATCGATCGGCCATGGTGAATGTCAGATCGAACAAGTTTTTAATTTACTTTTTTTTTTAAAGAAAAGCATATCATCTTCACCAGGATCATTTACTCAAAAGCTTCATATCTTCATCTGTTTTAAATACGGATTATCCACTTTATTGATATTTTAAGTAATAATCAGACTGACATGTACACAGTTAATCGAGCTTTTATCTGACTCGATGGAAAAGTCTATTCGTAAGATCGTTCATGACAAATATGAAAGAACATTTCTCAAATATCGTGACAACATAACTCGAAATGTCTTCCAGCCATTCGATTATGAAAAGTCCCCGTGAAAAATGGATACTATCTCCGTAAACCAGTAAGAAAAGACACGTACACATCTAATTCTATTTGTTGCTGTATATGAGGCCCTAAAAATTAGTTCTTAAAATAGTACTGTCAGACTAGCAACACGCATGATTTGATAATGGTATCGAAAACTTGTGCAGAACCAGCCACACGGAATAATTGATAAGAGAGAACGGGTGCAAATTGTGCCAGGAGGTCTTCAAGCATGAATGCATATATATATATATATATATATATATATATATATATATATATATATATATATATATATATGTGTGTGTGTGTGTGTGTGTGTGTGTGTGTGTGTGTGTGTGTGTGTGTGTGTGTGTGTGTGTGTATTTGCGCGTGAGAGAGAGAGAGAGAGAGAGAAATGAAATTTTGAAAAAATGTAATGTTAGATAGAGAGGTAGGTAGATAGGAGCAACGAGAACTAACATGTGAAAATAACATACTGAGATAGACATCAAGATATGTAGACATCGGTATGAAAGAATGTACTGAGGTAGCTAGCTTTGAAAGTTAAATAGAAAGAGAGAAATAAACAGATTATATATATATATATATATATATATATATATATATATATATATGCATGTATATATATATATATATTCTAGATAGATTGATAGATAAACAATATACAATTATGCTCCTTATATAAATATCAATCTAACACTATTAATTTATGCTTGATAAAAAAAAGTTTACATTTCATTTACCCAACATCTATAGATTTATAATATAATTGCTTTTTTCCTTCTTCTTCTTCTTCTTCTTCTTCTTCTTCTTCTTCTTCTTCTTCTTCTTCCCTTTTATCCTCCTCCTCCCTTTCTATCACACCCAGCATTTAGTTTTTTTTACAGGTGTTAGTTTTTATTTATTTATTTTTTTATTTTAAATTGGGAGGTCAATTGATAAAAATTGCCTGAGGATACCGTTAGTTGAAACCAAGGTAACGGATTCAAATGATCTCCTAATTTTTAAAGTATATATATATATATATATATATATATATATATATATATATATATATATATATATAAACAGACCATTAAAAGGGTCCATTATAATAATTTATTTCAATATAGAGCACTTTTTAAAGGACTTTGGATTATCAGATAGCACTTCCAAAAGATGAAACGAAACAAAATGAAATGAAAATTCATTCTTTTGATGGGTAGTGTAAGTTTTTGTAATTTAACAGACATTTAAATAACTATCAAACATTAAAATCTATTTTTTTTACATAAATTACTAAAACTATACCACCCTCTCCTTCCTACGTGAAACCTATTGACAGCCTGTTTCTATTTATTTCCCCCTTCTTTCTTTTTTCTTTTACTTTTCCTCTCTTCTCCCCTCTGTTTTCAATATATCATCCGTTAAGTTAACCGATTAAATAGGTCACGGTCTGGTCCCTCCTTCCCCAATACTAAGTATGATTGAAAGAAATATAAAAATAAACCCTCTCTAAACACGACCATGTCTCTCAAACCACCCCTCATTACCCCCTCTGTTAAATTACAAAAACTTACACTACCCATCAAAAGTATGACTTTTCATTTCATTTCGTTTCATCTTTTGGAAGTGCTATCTGATGATCCAGAGTACTTTAAAAGGGCTCTGGTGAAATAAATTATTATAATGGAACCTTAAACTTTTCATTTCACGATTTGATATGGACGACTGGATCATACCCAAAACCTGCCGCAAATATCGTAGCTTTTCAATTTGTGGAGAAGACCTGAATGCCAAACCTTGTCAAAGGCGAGGCGTCTAATGCTACAGCCCGGGCTTCAACGTTTTTATCTACAGCAGGAATATACTCTTTCCGCAATTATCTTTAGTACATCAGCATTGGTATCCGGCAAATTGCTCGAAATCAAGTGCTCAACAGTAAATTGCTCGAAATCAAGTGCTCTAAAAATAATTTCTCGAACTATCAATTGCTCGAAAGGCAGATAGCTCGAAACCTGTGGTTAAAAAAATAAATAAAACTACATTGCTTCTAATATTTACTATAACATAAAATAATACAACTTTATTGTTGTTAACTGAACAGTTAAAATTGAAAAACGTGTACATTTATATAGTAGGTCTTATTTTTCTTCTACATTGCTTTTTTTGTCATAGTTTAAAATAAAAGGTACATTTTTATTATTACTGTTATTCTTCGTGATTTAAAAAATGAAAAGAAATATAACTATTGTTGCTAATATTTAGTCTATTAATATGAAATATTATATGCAACACTTCTTAAATATTCTTCAACATTGTTTGTTGTGTCATAGTTTGATACAATATTCTTTAATCGCATTGCACAGTCACGGCACGTTTTTCTGCCCTCAGCTGCACTCACTCCTCCCACATATTGCTCTCTTCGCAATTCTTGTAAACTTCTTGTTTTTTGCACATTTCACATTTCCAGTAAATCTTATTGTTCACTGTTTTGTCCTTAATATATAGATATATCCATCCAAACACAACTTCTTCTTTCCTTTTTCGCTCACAACAAAAGTTATGTCCATCACTAGGGTTCGAGATCTCCAAAATTACAGAAATTGAAATAGAAAATAAATATAGAAAAAAAAAAGCATTTGCTCTGGAGAAATGAAAGCCGTATTGCATACCTGAGAAAAAGGCCATCTGATGAAAGATATTTCGTGTGCAAAAATTCGGTTAAAAACTTTTACATTAAGCCTTCAAGGTGAGTCTGCTTATGTTTTTATTGTATTTTTCCAATTTTCCAAATAAGGAAATGCACACTTAGAACAAATTTGTAGAGAAATTGTTCCAGAGCAGGAACCTACACATATCAGACTGTGGAATCGATACCATGTCGGGTTTGTTTACTTGGCTTAGCTAGAAAGGGTCCTAAATGATACTAGGCAGCGGTCCTATAACTTTTGACACGTCAGTATAAATAAATGGCATTTTTATATTATTTACGCACTATGTTCGTCACTTCGTCTCCGATCTCTTGACCTTAAGCAACATGGCATTAATTGAAAGGTGGTACATGGCATCACGTATCTTTCTAAGAGTTTTCCGAATGAAGACGTATGTTATGTTTGCGACAAACACATTCGCTAAATTTTAATTGAGGTTATACTTCGGAAGGTCGCTTTTTTGTGTGCTGTTTAATGAAGAAGCTGACTCCTGAAATCTGTTTACGAAGATAGATCGGCAGGCCAGACGAGAGAATAAATATGGCGTAAGAAGAAGAAATATCCGTCCGTCTATTTTCTAATTAGCGACTGAGCGAAATATCTGATACCATTTATACCTACCAAATGGTATAATTCTTTCTTTCATTTCGCTTTTCCCTTCATTTTTTCGTTATTTCTTTAATTCATTCTTTCTAGCTTCCGT